TGGGTTCTTTCAATAAAGTATGTTCCTTTATCTTGTTGTGCTCCAAGAAATTGCATAAATTCTTTTAAATAATTCTCCAAGTTTCCTTTTAATATGTTTTCTGGAATTCCTCTTATTTACATGGTGTTTCTTCACGCCCTATCTTCACTGTCTGTGATTTTAGCTTCTACTGATTTAATTCTTTTTTCCAATCTCAGCATCTTTTCATCCTGTAACCCATATTGTAGTATTGAATATTACATTTTTTCTTCAAGTGTATTAAAGGACCACTATAGGCACCCAGACCACTTCAGCTTAATGAAGTGGTCTGGGTGCCAGGTCCAACTAGGTTTAACCCTTTTTTTTAATAAACATAGCAGTTTTAGCTTCCGTGTCTGTAATTTTCTGTGTTATTTGTTGTGACTTATCCTCTACTTGTTTATCTACTTCATAATGACTTGCCCTTCTCTCCATTTTTTCTTTTTCTTGAGGTGAGAAAAAGTTTGATAATCGTTTTTCAGTTTTTTGTTCCACCTTCTTTTCTTTCTTATTTCCCTGTTCGGAATCATTCTTCTCAGTGGCCATTGCAACAAAAAACAAACAAACAAACAAACTTTCTTGTTCTCTCTGCTTCAAATTCAGGTGTTTTTATATTAATAACCAGTAATTGGTTTATATCTGGTATTGCTTGTTGCCCTTATTTAGCTCCTTGGGCGTATTATTGAGTGATTTTATTCATTTTAACCGCTTATATATCCTGGAGTTTACTTGACAGTTTTATCCAGGTTCCATTTAAAGAGACACTATAGTCACCCAGACCACTTCAGCTCAATGAAGTGGTCTGGGTGCCAGGTCCCTCAGGTTTTAAACCTTCACATATAAACATAGCAGTTTCAAAGAAACTGCTATGTTTACATTTGGGGTTAATCCAGTCTCCAGTGGCTGTCTTCCGGACAGCCGCTAGAGGCGCATCTGCGACACTGGAGGCGAATTTCACCTCCAATGTGCAGAGCGTCCATAGGAAAGCATTAAGAAATGCTTTTCTATGGACACTTTGAATGCGCGCGCGGCACTTGCCGTGCATGCGGATTCGGCTCCAGTGACGTCAGACGAGGGAACAGACGCCGGCAGGGGAGGAGAGGTCACCAGCGCTGAGGGAGACCGGCGCTGGATTAAGCTAAGTGGCTGAAGGGGTTTTAACCCCTTCAGCGCCACGGGATGGGGACCCTGAGGGTGGGGGCACCCTCAGGGCACTATAGTGTTTTCCTGACATAGTGATCCTTTAAGGCATGTCAATGTTTGAAATCTATTCAAAGGCCCTTTTTTGAGGGACCTGAGCGCTATAAGGGCTATGTATATTGCTGGTTATTTTCCTGATGTATGTGGACTCTTGTACATACACTATAAATATGTCTTGACCAATAAAATCTTGTTTCTCAGACCTACTTTTTTTTTTCCCTTCCCTTTTTTTTATAAAACTTTTTCTCCTCCCTTTCTCTTCTGATATCTGTTTTTTTTTTTTCTTCCAAATTCACCTTTATGTACCTTCATACACCACGTTAATTTTGTGTTTCCACACCATACATGAAGTTTTGGTACTTGCAGTTTGGAGATTCTTCTTGTATCTTATGCCTGCTGCTTTCTTTAGGGTAACCATCTGGTACCTCCAAGCTCCAGCCGTTTGTATCTCTGGCTGCCTTCGGTTACCTGAAACGCTAACTTTAATTGCTTTTTCACGCCCTGTTCAGCCGCGTCTTTGCTGCTCTGCTTCCTAAACCATCCGCGTGACATGACCGGAATCCGTCCTCACGTCATCGCTCCACCCCTTCCCTCATGTTTTCAATGTTTCTTTTAATTTGCTTACTAGCTATGAGGACTGCCAGCGAGTAAATGGTACTTTAAATGATCAATTCATCATTTTTGAATGCTAATCCTGTCAGATGCATTCGATTACTCTTCGGTCCCTGGATTTTGACTATTCTGACTAAATCAGGTGTTTACTGAATAACTCTCTAGAATAGGAAATGTTGGAAAGACAAAGTGAATTTTAAATTCAGGATCATAATAACCAAACTGAAAAAGTCAACTATACTTCCAGTTTGGCTACTTTGGCCTTACATTTGATCTTCACTTTGAATTCCCAACAATGCTTACTTTAGTGGATAACCCTGCTGATATATTTGAATCTTTACTACCTACCCTATGTATCGTGCGATGTCTACTTCACAGTGCTTGGGAAATTTATCAAGACAATAGCTGGCGCTATTCTGCAGCAAAGAGTTAAGTAAGGAATAGAATGTCTATCGACGTGTAGCATTTTGCACCCAAAATAACACCTGTTTTACCTTGATACGTTCTTCTCTATATGTCATGTATTCTCTTCACATACTATCCGGTTTATTTACCAAAGGTGGAATTAACAGGAATTAAGATTTAAGGCCAAAACAGCACGCTGTATTTTATGGTGCTACTAACCACTACAGCATCCCTCACTATTGCCAACAAAGAGCCAGGAGCTTAGGGGATTCCACTAGCTCTCATGAGCTAAGTTCTGCACCATCTGTCTCACCCCCAACAGAGAGCTTCTCCTTATATGTCGGAAGTAGTGGAGGTGGGTAGCAGCCCCCTGGCAGGCTCCAGGTAACAAGTCAAACCGGTCTAAAACAGTTTATGAAAATGTTTACAGCTCTAGTGGCTATCTCCCTGATCAAATGCAATTCATAGCAGCAATTGAATGGAGAATTATGGCATTTTGCCACTCCTATGAATCTCATCCCCAATGCTTCTCTAGGGGAAGTATTAAATTCAGGGAAGATGTCATCAGGCATGAGGACGGAGGCAGAGTGGGCGGCTGCAGCCAAGGTGTCTCGGCAAAAATGGTGAGTAAATTTGATTAAACTTAACCCACATTTGCTGCTAAACAGTTATCATAAGTCAGAACAGTATAAGGGAATTTATAATCATGAAAATAACATTTACTGTAGGTTTCCTTTTAAGGGGGCTAGATTGTCTCCTCACTTGGTCAACTTTCATCCTTCAACATATGAATTCTGCATGCTGCAGAGCTGCACTTTTAATGTACAGTTTATCATGCTATAGGTGTAATATGTATCCAGGCTTGGGAAGCCTAGGTCAGTGACTACAGATGGAATTGCAAGGTACCACATAAAGTAATGCTTCCATTCCAATTAGTCCAAGTTTCTATCCACTATTTCATCCTTTCATCTCTCTTAAAAAGAGTTACAACTCACCTTTACTCCAACGCCATGCGTGTCAGCTGCGGCTGACTCTACTCACGCCCGCCTCCTTGGCTGAGATCATCCGAATTCACAATCTCACTAATCCAGTGTTTTCCCATAGGAAAGCATTGGGAGGCTAATGCGCACATGTGGCCAAATGCCATGGTGCACCAGTCAACATCTTCTCCTAGGGATGTATTGAATCAATGCGTATCTATGGGGAGTGTTCAACGCCTCCATGCAGAGCAGTGACAGCCACTAGAGGTGTCTCTAGGGTGTCTTTTCTCTGAAAAGGCAGTATTTACAATAAAATGTCTGCAGGGACATACTATACACACCAGAGGAGCTACATTAAAGGAACACTATAGTCACCTAAATAACTTTAGCTAAATAAAGCAGTTTTAGTGTATAGATCATTTCCCTGCAATTTCACTGCTCAATTCACTGTCATTTAGGAGTTAAATCACTTTGTTTCTGTTTATGCAGCCCTAGCCACACCTCCCCTGGCTATGATTGACAGAACCTGCATGAAAAAACAACTGGTTTCAGTTTCAAACAGATGTAATTTACCTTAAATAATTGGATCTCAATCTCTAAATTGAACTTTAATCACATACAGGAGGCTCTTGCAGGGTCTAGCAAGCTATTAACATAGCAGGGGATAAGAAAATCTTAATTAAACAGAACTTGCAATAAAGAAAGCCTAAATAGGGCTCTCTTTACAGGAAGTGTTTATGGAAGGCTGTGCAAGTCACATGCAGGGAGGTGTGACTAGGGTTCATAAACAAAGGGATTTAACTCCTAAATGGCAGAGGATTAAGCAGTGAGGCTGCAGGGGCATGTTCTATACACCAAAACTGCTTCATTAAGCTAAAGTTGTTCAGGTGACTATAGTGTCCCTTTAAGCTGTAGTTGTACTGGTGACTATAGTCTCCCTTTATTTTATTTTTTTCATTTCAAGGCTTTATTGAGGCATAGAGTTGTAGTTACAGTTACAGTAGAACACTATTACAGTGAAGGTGTACAGGAGACTCGCAGGTCTCATTGTGATAGGACAGTGACACAAAGGTTTTTCACCTATTTGGCCGTTTGCTTCTGCTGCTGCTAGCGGTCAGAGAGTTCAGATATTTGGTTGACAATGTTAAGCATACATGTTGGGATGTCACCCGTCAGCAGGTGAAGATCAGTTCGGGTGTTGAGTTGTAAAGGCAGATATTGTTGTTAATATATGATAAGCGTCGAACGGCAATACAATAGCATTCATGGCACATCACCTAGCCTTGTTAGACAGGTCAGTAGAGTGTACAGCTTTGTTGTGGTCTATGTAAGGACATAGGTCGCATTGTAGATTATACAGTAGGAATTGTAACCTATGTGGTGCATTCTCTTAGTACAGCTAGCCTGCTGGTTGGGGTAGGTATTAGATGGCAACCACTCGTTGTGTTTTCAGTGGTTCCTGGGTTGTTGGTGGTGTGTCGGGCAGGTTTTCTGATTTGGCAAGCCGAGTACAGCATGCGGAGGTGGGTGAAGGGGGAGTGTGGGCAGCAGGGAGATGCGGTTCAGGGATCTCTGTCAGGTAGGCCTGCTCAAGATCCGTTGGGGTGGAGGGCGGGGAGCAGTTGTCGAGTAGTGGGGCGTTTGGAGGTCGAGGGTCCGTCAGGTAGTTTTGTCCTCTGTGTGCGTTTGCTGCGGGTGTCCCCTCTGTGCTAGTCGCTGTTCTTTAATGTGTGTAGGCGGTGGTTGTGTGTGTGTCATGCGTCGGGGTGTTGTCTTGTTGGGGTGTCACTTCTGTGTCTGTTTAAGGCTCCGGTTAGCGTCGGGGGTGTATTGGTCGAGCGGGTAATGTTCCGGGTTGTGAGGATTGAGTGGTTTCTGGTATCGTGGTATAGTGTTCTTGGGTATTGGGCGTTTGGGCAATCTTGTCGGGTTGGTGCATCCCTTATCCGGTGTGTGCTGGTCGTGGTGGGTCTTTTGTGAGTGCTGTGGTGTGTAGTCTGTCTCGTAAGTGAGGGGGCGTTTCTGTGAGTGTAGGTTGTGTTCTCAAGTCAGCCTGTCGGCAGTGGGTCATGTGTTTTAACTTGTGTTGTGGGGGGCGGGGGGATGGGAATGTAGGTTAATGGGGTGAGGGCATTGCGGGTGGGGGTAGGGTGCGGGAGGGTAGGGGGTGGGGTGTCAGGTCCCGGGTCCCCACCCCAACCCCCCCACCCTGCCTCCGGGGCTCGGGGCATCTCTGGCTCCGCGTGGTCGTCTTGGTTTGGGTCGTTAGTCCAGCTTCCGCATTATCGCCAGTCGGTTCCGTCAGGACCGTCCCGTCTGCCTCCACTGCCAGGTGTTGTGTGGCCCCCGTAATTGGTGCGGTGGAGGCGAGCCATTGGAGCCAGTGGTACCACACATTGTGGTAACGTTGTATGCGTCCCGGTGCGGAGTGGATGAGCTCCTTGATGCGTCTGATGTCTTCCACCCTCGTTATCCATTCCCTGATAGTCGGGGCCATGCTTTGTTTCCAGTGTCCCGGGATGAGGCTGCGGGCTGCGTTTATTAGGTGTGGGAGTGCTGTTTTTTTAAACCTGTTGATGGGGATCTGTGTAAGTTGGAGCAGGTATGTTTCTGGTGAGAGGGGCAGATTTGCTTCTGTTATGGTTTTGAGTATCTTGTGGATCTCTGCCCAAAAGGGCTGGATAAGGGGGCAGGACCACCATAGGTGGAAGAGGGATCCCAGTTCTCTCCCGCATCTCCAGCATTCCGGGTCATTCGTGGTTTTCATCATGCTAAGTTTTTCCGGTGTCCTGTACCAGTGGGAGAGCATTTTATATCCTGTTTCTTGGAATTTGGTGGAGATGGAGGCTTTGTGTGTGAGTGTAAACACCGTTGTCCATTGTTCTGCTGAGATTGAGTGTCCTAGATCCCTTTCCCAGTACTTTGTGAAGAAAGGGGGGGGGGTGCGTTAGTGGTGGTGGTGGTTTGCATGCGGTACAGTATCGATATTGCGTGTGGGGGTTCATGCAGATGGTCTCGAATACGGAGAGCGTTCGCGTTGCCGAGTTTAGGGTCGGTATGCTTCTCAGACAGAAACCTCGTCAGTTGGTGATATCTGAAGCGTAGGAGCATATTGTGTGGAGTATTTGGGACCAGGGTGGTCAGGGGCGTGATTGTGCCTTGGTCATAGACGTCCTTCAGTCTGCAGGGGGTCGGTAGGCCCAGGGCAGCCGTGTAGTGGGGGTCTGATGCGGGGATAAATTTCGGGTTGTGAGATATGGGGCATAGTGGTGAGAGCTCCGGGGATACGTCTGTGTGGGTCGCCAGTCTCCTCCAGACTGCCATTGTAGCATTTAGGGTTGGGTGGTTCCATGGCAGTTCTCCGGCCATGGATTTCGGCAGCCAGGGTAGCAGCGTCAGGGGTATCTGTGAGAAGCTGGCCTCTATGGAGATCCATAGCTTGTCTTTTGGGCCTTGTGTCCGGGTAGTCCCAAGCCTCCCTGTAGTTTGGGTCTGGTGAGCGTGGCGAAATTCAGCCTCGGCAGTTTGTGGGCCCAGACGTAGGCCATCAGTGTGTTACGGGTTTGTGTTAGGAAGGTTTTGGGAATATGGATTGGTAGGGTTTGTAGGAGATACAGGATTCGGGGGAGGATATTCATTTTGAGGACACTGATCCTACCCAGCCACGTAATGTGCGGGAGTTGCCACGAGTCGAGGTCCTTCTGTATTCGGTCGAGGAGGGGTGGGAAGTTGATGCGGTAGGTGTCCGACACATCAGCCGACAACCAGATCCCTAAGTATTTAATCCTTTCTTTGCACCATTGAAAAGGGAACTCTGTTTGCAGTGCAGTTGTCAGTGCTAGGGGGCAGTTTACGTTGAGAATTTCAGATTTCGTAAAGTTAATTTTCAAGTTGGAGAGGGTGCCGTATAGGTCGAATTGGTGCGTGAGCTCCCTAAGGGAGGTTGCCGGGTTGGTGATTGTGAAGAGGAGGTCGTCCGCCTATGCAGAGACCTTGGTGGCTCCCCAGCTGCCCTCGATTCCAGTTATGCGGGGTTGGGCTCGAACTGCATTGAGGAACGGTTCCAGGCTGATGGCAAAGAGTAGGGGCGATAGGGGGCACCCTTGTCTAGTGCCGTTTCTGATCTCAAATGGGTCGGAGAGAATCCCATTAACCTGCACGCGGGCTGCTGGAGCGGTATATAGGGCCAAGATGCGCGCCATCATGTGGGGTCCCAGTCCCAGGTGTTCCAGGGTGGACCTCAGGAAAGACCAATCGACCCTGTCAAACGCCTTCTCCGCGTCGGTCGAGACTATCAGGGCGGGGGAGTGTCTTTCTCGGGCCGCGTGGAGAAGATTGAGTGTCTTGATAGTGTTGTCCCTGGCCTCCCGGCCCTCCACAAAGCCCACCTGGTTAGGGTGGAAAAGGCTCGGTAGCAGGGGCTGGAGGCGCAGGGACAGTATTTTGGCAAACAGTTTGAGGTCGGCGTTCAACAGGGAAATCAGTCTGTAACTGGCACATGAGGAGGGGTCTTTTCCCTCTTTTGGGATTACCACGACGTGTGCTAGGAGCACGTTGGGGTCTAAGGGGCCTCTGCTGTGTATTGAGTTGAATAGTGTAAGTAGGTGTGGGACAAGGTTATCTGCGAACATTTTGTAGTACTTTGCCGTGTATCCATCTGGTCCGGGGCTTTTCCCCAGTTTGGCCAGTTTGATGGCTAGGCGTATCTCCGCTTCAGTGATATCTTCTTCTAGTGTAGATATATCTTGGGGTGTCAGCGTTGTAGTGATATTCTGTTCGATATATGTTTTTTGCCGTGCTGTGTAAGCCTCCTCTCCTTCGTGTGTGCGTGTGGTGTTGGGAGGTAGGCAGTATAGGGAGGAGTAGTATTGTCTGAAGCCCTCTGCTATAGCCTTCGGGGTCTGCAGTGAGTTTCCTGCCAGGGAGATCCTTTGAACATGGTTTTTCTGTCTCCGGGCCCTCAGCGCCCTAGCGAGCAGTTTACCACTTTTGTTTCCGTATTCGTAGAACGTTTTTTGTGTGAGTTGGAACTGGAATTGTATTTTTGACGTTAGGCAGGAGTTGAGTTTCGCTCTGGTCTCTAGGAGTTGTTTGTAGGTTTCGTCTCGGAGGTCTTGTTTGTGAAGCGTTTCTAGACGCGCTAGTTGGGCAGCGAGGCGTGCTATTTCTTGTGTGCGTTGTTTTTTCAGGCGAGTGCCGTGTTTAATGAGGATCCCTCGGATAGCGCATTTGTGTGCTTCCCAGACAGTCGTTGGTGCGCTGTCTGTTGTTTGATTGGTGAGGAAGAAGTGGTCTAGAGTGTTTCTAATTTCTGTTTGGATCAGTGGGTCCTCTAAGAGTGATTCATTAAGTTTCCATGTCCATTGGGATCCGAAGGTTCTAGAATTGTCGACGGTGAGTATTACTGGTGCGTGGTCTGACCAGGTCATGGGGACGATGTGAGCTGAGCACAGTGTGTCTAGATCTCTGTGTTGGATGAAGAAGTAGTCAATCCTCGAGTAGGATTTATGTGGCGCTGAGTAATAGCTGTAATCTTTCTCTGCATGGTGTAGGATTCGCCAGCAGTCTACGAGTTGGTGAGCTGTCAAAAGGGTCCGCAGTCCTCTGAGGACGTGGTCCGGGATCGTGGAGCTCCCTTTAGATGTGTCCATCCTAGGGTCTAGAGGGGCGTTGAGGTCCCCTCCTATTATGACGGTTCCTGCACTGAACGCCTTCAGATTTCTCAGGGCTGAGGCTAGGAATGGTTTTTGGCCTTTGTTTGGGAGGTAAAGGTTCGCGAGTGTGATTTGAGCGTCACCTATGTGTCCTTTGAGAAAAAGGTATCTGCCTTCTCGGTCTTTTTCTTCTGCTTCCAGGCGGAACTGGGTGTCCGCCGAGAATAATATGGCCACTCCCTTGGATTTGGGGGAGGGGTTATGCGCATAGTAGCTGGTTGGGAAGTATTTGTCTGAGAATTTGGGGGCTTTTGTTTCTAGAAAGTGTTTCTTGGAAGAAAGCTATTGATATCTTGAGTGCTCGAATTTCTCGCAGCGCTCTTGCTTGTTTTTGTGGGGAGTTCAGGCCCTTCACGTTGATCGTGTAGAGGTTAATTCCTACCCCGCGCGCCCAGGGGCGTGGGGGGCGGTGGGCCAATCGTATCCGGGTAGCGGGGTGTGGAGAGGGGGAGGAAAAAGGGGAAAGGAGGGGGGGATGGAAGGGGAGGTTAGACGGGCTTGGGGGGTAGTTCAAGTGGTGTGGTGTGTGGCGGTTATGTCGAGTCGCAGAGGCGACTGTTGTGAGGGGTAATGTGCCACTGGTAGGTGGGTGTCCGGGGACCGAGTCCCTCGTAGCCACCTCACAGTCTCTTGGCAGTAAACCCGTGGGGCAGGTGGCGTCGAAGGTTAGGTAGGTCACCTACTTTGGGGTGTCGTCTGGTGACGTATCACTTTCTGTCAGCATCCGTCTCCTGCTGCCCAGTAGTGGTGGTGTCTGGCATCCAGAGGGGTAGTACCGTTCTAGCGGGTCAGTTTACAACGAGGTGAGTGGCCATGATGGTCGCCCCATGGCGCTATCCTGTTATCGTTCATTGCGCCATTGTGTCGGGAGCGTGCATAAGAACATAAGAACAGTATTCGTGAGAACAACATAATAACAGCATATCAAAACATGGTTACACAGGTTATGTCCCCAGTATCAGGGAGAACATCAGAAACTTTTATGAACATTTAGAGATAGTTTGAGCATGTTCGCGCAGCACAGGGGGCCCCTCATAAAATAGAATGAGGTTTGCACCCCGTGGTGCGCTTTCACCTTACACATTTCATATAGCAGGGTAGGAGGAGGAGGACAAAAAGTTAGGGGTGGGGGTACAGAAGGGGAGAGAAGGAAAAAAAAAAAAAGGGGTAGTTAGTGAAGTCAGCAAACAATTATTGGTAGAAAACAATACACTTTGTTGGAACCAGTGAGTGTAGGTGCCGCCGTCGTCCCATGGGAGCCCCTCGGGCGCTCACAGGGGGCGAGGTAGAGTTGCTCTCAACAGTAATTCGGATGTTCACAACTGTGAGTCTGTTTGAGGAACACTGAGCATTCATCCTACGGTATGCAGTGGTTGGTGTTCCCACCTTCTGGTGTGTTCGTGGTGTCTGAGGTGTGGTCTCTGTTGGACGCCTCAGAGGTGTGTGTGTTGCCGGGTTGCCTGTGTTGCAGGTATGGTCTGTGTGTGTGGCTGCGGTTTGATTAGGTAGTGAGGGTGTCTGGGTGCATCTTGGGTGTATTTGTGGGGTTCCCTTCTGGGTGTAGTGGGTGTGTGTGTGTATATGTGTGTGTGGGTGGATGGTAGTGTACAGGTGTGTAAGGAGTGCGAGCCCCCAAGGTATACTTGCTCTTGCGATTCGTTCTACGGTGGTGGAAGCCTTGACAAGCAGTCCAGGGTGATGCCGGGGTGTCAGTTCAAGGCATCATGCCATTAGTCGTCTCTATAGGGGGTTGGGGGCTTGGCGGGTGGGGGTCTATGTCTCGTATTGTGGGGCAAAGGAATCTTATGTGGAGCTGGCCAAGGTATTGGTGCACTGGCGAGTCCTTAGGGGATGTCTCTGTTGAGTTAGCAGTGGTCTCGTGGTGTTGAGCAAGTCATGGACTCGGGGGGCAGTAGATGTAGGCCCAGTTAGGTGATGAAGCAAGGTGGTTCCAGGTCTTTGAGACGGTGAGATGCGGGTGGGTGTCCGTTCTTGGTGGTGTCTTGGCGGCGGTGAGTTGCAATCTGCTTTCTCCCTTTGCTTTCCTGGTTGCAGGGTGAGAGGAAAAGGGTGAGAGGAGTTGCCTTATCCCTCCTGCTCCCCCCAGCGTGGTCGTGAAAGTGTTGCACAGTCGTGGTCAGGCTGGTGTTGCAGGGTGGGTGGCGGGAGGGGGTGTAGGCAGGTGGTGGTGTCTCCATCTCGTTATTCCTCGGGGTCAATTAGTCGGTGATGGGGCGTCTCTGTCGGGCCCCTGTTGGATGTTACGTTGTGTTGGTCTCCCTGTCAGGCGTTCATTAAGCGGGCATGCAGTCCAGTCCGGAATAGGAGTGCGGGGGAGGTTTAGAGCCTCCTGGAAGGCCAGTACATCTTGCGGCGTTCGGATTACGGCTTCCGTGGTGCCCTGTCTGGCTGAGAGGGCGAAAGGGAACTGCCATCTGTAGCGGATTTGGGCTTCTTGCAGGGCGGCGGTGAGGGGCCGCAAGGCTCTTCGGGCCTGTAGGGTGAGGTGGGATAGGTCATTGTAAAGCTCTATAGCCTGTCCCTCAATTCTCCAGGTTCTTTCTGTGCGTGCTTTTCTCATAATTTCTCCCTTTAGTTGGAAGTCTTGTATGTGGCAAATTAAGTTCCTGGGGGGAGCACCCGGGGGGGGCTTGGATCTCAGTGCCCTATGTGCCCTGTCCATGTGGATGCGGGCGTCCCTGGGCCTGCCCAGTATGAGGTTAAAAATCGGGGTCAGCGTGGCCCTGGCGTCCTCTGTTGTGTCAGATTCTCTGCAGCCCCTTACCCTGATGTTATGTCTGCGACTGCGGTTATCAAGGTCCTCTATGTGAAGGCGCAGATCTTGTATGTGCCTGGAGTGAGCCTCTGTAGCTTGTAAAGCAGGGCAGTGTGGGTTGGGGCCCTGTGACTCTAGGGCCTGTACCCTTGTCTCGAGCGCTGTGAGGTGCCCAGGGCTGAGATCTCTGTGCGCAGGGTGGCTTTTACCTCATCTAGCAGTGACTGGAAGTCCTCCTTTTTCGGCAGGGATGTAAACAGTGTGTACCAGTCTGGTGTCTGTGGGGCCGGCCGGCCGCTTTCGGTGCGCGGGTACTCCTCCGACAGCGTGGAGCTCGGGGAGGAGGGCGCCATATTGGAGGCCTCCTCCTGGGAGAGGAAATCTCCTGGCGTGTGTAGGTAGCTGCGGATGGAGGGGTGCGAGCTGGTCCCCTGTGTTCTCGGCGTGGAGGGGGTCATCTGGGCTCTCTTGGTACGTCCCATGGGTGCCAGGTTTGTGCTTGTGCGATGTGCTTGTTTGCAGCCTGGAGCGGAGCTCGGGAATTAGGCGCCCATTCCTGTTCGGCGCCAAGCCACGCCCCCTAGTCTCCCTTTATTATTTATGTTATCCAGGTGTCCTGTATCCCAGTAGTTTTATATCAGGTTGTGATCCTGGTTCTTGAATGTTACCTGTTTTGTAAGTTCATATCTATCTTGTTTTATGGATATAAATTTAAAAATGCTTTTTTTTTTTTCTAAACAAAGTGATCTTTAAATTGTTGTTAAGGTTTAAGTATTTTGCAGTATACCCTGTCCACCTTGTGACATGATTAGCTGCGACAGTTCAGACAATGGCAATGTGTTCTTGAAATTCTGTTTTTAGATGAAAGGTAGAGAAGGAGTGGGGGGGGTGGGGGGGGGTATGGCAGTATGCTGATGCATGATCCACAAAGTGACCCAAATTGATGGGCGTTAATGTGAAAACTAGTCACAGAAAGTTTTCATACTCCAACACCTTTCCCTCATTACATCTGCTATAGAATCTGAAAATATTCTAAAACCTTTCCTTTCCTCTCGGGAGTTTATTCATTAACCAGTGATTATATCTAATCATTGATGTATATTTTGCAGAGTACAGACAACACCTGAATGTTGCTAAGCACTAAACTAAAGTGTTAAAGGGACAGACCCCCTCTCATGACCGGTACACTTCAAATTCTAACATCTGCTTATGCCAATATATTACCATTGTGATAAATTATATATTTACCTATTAATAAATGTTAATACTTGCATCCTTTCCACAGATGCCATTGTATCTATGATCTGAGGTGTGTGGGTCTTATGCTAGTATAACACCGACCCCTATTTCTGCCTGTGCCTTGTTCACCTATTATGCTATTTGGCCTGTTTGGGAATATTTTCCCAACCAGGGCACACTTTTCCCAGCTATGCCAACATGGTAGCTTTATTGCCTTCAGGGTATATTCATTCATTAGAAAATAGTGACATCTGTCTCTGTATTCCAAAATGTGATTGCAGGAGGAATAATCAGAGCAACTATGGACGTTCTCCTGTCACTCAAGTGTGTCACTCAGAAAATGCTAGGTGCGGGAATGGACCATTGATATATATATTTATTTAGAAAAACTATACCCGAACGAATAATTCTGCTAGCACTGTATATAGATAAAATATATTGCACTATATGTGTGTGCAGTCTTGCGTGATCCACTATGTTACATTAAATAATATTCCACAGAGTTGTACAATATGTGGACTAACAAACAAGTAGTTGCAACAAGACAAGAAATTATGCCAAAATTTGACAAAAAAACTAACAAATCAAATATATGTATATTTGGGGGACTGGGGTGGGTACTACACCTATACCAGTTCCCTCTTTCAAAATCATTAATGGACAGATATGTTTAGTGCATGAAAAAGAATGGTTCAGATCCAACCTGGAGTTAGTTCTTCTTTAAGTACTATGCAGCAATATGTCATTGTCAACCATGCACTAAACAGAACGAAAATTCTGAAACCGCGTCTACAAAATATGTCCGACCTTGCAGTGTTTTTAAAGGACAATTATAAAATGTCTTTACTACAAGGTTGCTTGATTGAAATACAATACACCTGTTTACTTATTACATTCTCCCTAAAAGCATAACATTTAAGCCATGTGCTGTACACATACCAGAAAAGAATCCCTTGACTATCCCTGACATCTTTATAAATGTTTATGTATTACGTTTTTTAAAGCAGGGGCAATTTTGTATTCATACCATCCCACAAAAATAAAAAAAGGGGCAACAAAACCACTTTATGTTTATAAAGTGGATCTGGTACGTGGAGTCCACCAGTGGCTATAGTGGCATGTCATGTGTCCTTAAGGGGTTAAAAAAGTTTTTATCTCCTTCTCTGTAAATTGAACTTTAATTACATATAGGCACTCCTGGAGGGTCTAGCAAACTATTAGCAGAGCAGGAGATAAGAAATTCTAA